GTCTAAGAACCACATTGGATGATCATAGGGAAATACGTAATTGAATTACATAATAGAATGGAATATTACTCGTAATTCATTCAGGTGTGACACCATGGATTACAATACATGTTTCATACCATAATTTCATAGTACACAAGTCATAGAGCATACAAAGTGTTAATATTATAATTCATCTTCTACTGCCTACAAAAAAATGTTCAAATACCTTACTAGCATTAGCTATAGTTGTTATGGCACTTTTGTGTATCATTTAAGCATTTATTTTCCGTTTCTCGTTGTAAGATGTACAAGATGTATAACACCCCCATGAAACTCCTTCCTCTTCGCCCCCGCCGTTCTGCTTCGCCCCCGCCCCGTTCTGCTTCGCCCCCGCAAAAAATCTGCTTCGCCCCCGTCGTTCCTCTACGCCCCCGGCGCAATTCTGCTTTGCCCCCGTCCTTCTGCTTAGCCCCCAATGGCGGCACAGCTCACAGTCGACACGAAAATCGTCTGCAAAATAACAATAAAGGCTGTGCCGCCAAATTTAAAGTAGCCCATGCTCCGGCAAACATTCTGGACCACCTTTCTGCCAAGTGGCGTTGCACAAATCCTTCCCATTCAAAAGTTTACCCCTACCTCACGGCCCGTCAGTGGTTCTTACGTTTATAAGTACTGGCGTTTATAAGTACAGCCGTGAGTGAAATTTCCCGCCAGTACTTATAAACGTAAGAACCACTGACGGGCCGTGAGGTAGGGGTAAACTTTTGAATGGGAAGGATTTGTGCAACGCCACTTGGCAGAAAGGTGGTCCAGAATGTTTGCCGGAGCATGGGCTACTTTAAATTTGGCGGCACAGCCTTTATTGTTATTTTGCAGACGATTTTCGTGTCGACTGTGAGCTGTGCCGCCATTGGGGGCTAAGCAGAAGGACGGGGGCAAAGCAGAATTGCGCCGGGGGCGTAGAGGAACGACGGGGGCGAAGCAGATTTTTTGCGGGGGCGAAGCAGAACGGGGCGGGGGCGAAGCAGAACGGCGGGGGCGAAGAGGAAGGAGTTTCATGGGGGTGTATATACATGCTTTGTTTTGACTGAAATTATCTCAAGGAAAAGCGTTGGGATACTAAGACAGTTCAAAACAACGAAATAAGCCCCTTATCACAATGAATAGCTGCTCAAAGAAATCAACACATAAGACTATCTGGAAATTTTAAACAGATCATGTTTCATGTATGTATGTATGGTTTATCTATGATTATTGTATGTTAGTTTGAATCAAGCTGTCACACATTTGATATTTATATCAAATAATTTCCCTTGATTATCCGGAAAAACATAGATATAGCACTACTATCGAAAGATGGCAAAAAACGTCAACAGTGCTAAGTATATAGATGAGACGCGTGACATTGTCAGTGAATTTACGTACCTTTCCTTGAATTTCTTCTTCGGATGTGGGG